GACACACACACACACACACACACACACACACACACACACACACACACACACACACACACAAGGACACATCACACTGGCTCTTGTTCTAACATAACAGCTATAATGTTCCTAGCACAACATGTGGTTCGTGATAGAGATTACCGAGTGGTGGTTACAATTACCTGGGGGGAAACCTTTACTGGACAAATCCTTCTCCTCTGAAGGAGAGAAAAACCAACGAAATTACAAAATCAAGTCCAGAACCAGGGTCTGTACAAAGAGAAGGGCTGCCTGGCCTTGGCTAATTTAGCAACCTAATTAAAGTCTGTCTGCTGGGAGAAAGCGAAGATGTGACCTCAGCCCTCCCATCTATTTGGAAAGAATGCTTCGAAGGAATTGTACAAGGAGTGGGCTGGGGATGAAAGGAGCGAGCTGGAGATTACTCACCAACCTTTCCATTCATCATTCAACAGGCAGAAGCCCATTAAATACCTGTATTAACATTATGAAGGGTCTCACGGAGACAGAAAGAAGCTTTTCTCAAATGACCTTGTCAAAAATGAAAGCTGAAGACGGAGGACCATGGCAGACTGTCCCTCTGAGTGAGGGGGCGTGAGACAGGATCAGAGGGGTGTGGCTGCAGGGCCTTGGTGAGTGTTCTGGCTGGCTTGGGGGTTCCTTTCTTAACAGACTACATACATATTTTACAATTTTTTTCTTTCCTATCAGTGTTTTTGGGAGTCCCACCGTATCCCAGGTGACCCGCTGGCCAGGATCAGTGGGAGGAAGCATTTGCCAACCATTATTCTCTCCTCCCAGAGAGACACACCTGCAGGCTTCCAGGCCACAGGGCTGCCAGAAAGCTCCACACGCCCCGGGCTTTACAAGAGAACTGAAAATCCGTTCCCTTTTCACATCCTCTGCTGCTATTTCCCAGCCTCTGGGGAATGGAATTTGTTAGTCTTAAAGGGGAAGGCTAAGGGTCTCCCACTGAGAGAAAATGCAAGGCCCAGACCTCTCCAGGGAGGCTATCTGCTCCTTGCCGCGTAATCAGTCATTCCCAGGTGACTACCGAAGGCACACGGCTTCCTGCAAGGTGAGCATGCTGACTCAGCCTCAGAGTGGAGACGGGGCTGGCGGTGGGCTGGCAGCTTTACAAGGCCACGCCTGTGCCTCTCAACAGGCTGGGACTGGTCAGGAATGGGAAGTCAAGGCCACTGGCTCAGGACCTGGGTCCTCCCCCACTGGGGGCTGGCATACCTCGCAAAACATCTTGAGCCTCCGTTTCCTCATCTGTACAATGGGTGTAGGAGGACAGTACAAGTTCCACTTACCTGCTCCATGAGTTACTGTGTGTAAAGGTTTGTAAGCCTGTAAGTCCTCTGACACGGTGTGTGTTTTGGTGTTTTTGTCATTACTGATATTTCACAAGGAGGGAATATCAAGGGCCAAGTCAGGATCTCCAACTGGTGGCTGAGATGGGACTAGAATATGGGGCATCAGGACAGGCTAGAGTGGCCAGGCCGCTTGAGGAAGAGGCCCCTTTGGTCCCAGCCCCCCCCCACCCCCGCCTCCCAATGCATTGCAATAGGACAAACCCCAGCTGCATCAGAATCACCCCGAGGGCTTATGAACACCCATCCCTGGGCCCTTCTCGCAGAGGTTCCTGTTCAGCAGGTCCAGCCTGGAGCCTCAGAACTGGCCTGTCTAACGATTTCCCAGGTGATGTCGATACTGAGGGTCTGGTACCCCTCCCTGAGAACCGCTGGAACAGGATGACATTGGTGGGGCAAGGAACTAGCCAGCTGATGACCGATGTTCACCTTAACAGCTTGCCCTCAACAAGTCCCACCCGCACCCACAGATATACTAGTCACGCACCACCACTCAAAGACCAGGAGGAGGCCTGCAATCCTGGACGTACCTGCATGGCCTAGGCTGAATCAAGCCCCCACTTAGAGCCTCAGCCGCTCGTCTTACAATGGAGATGTCTCTCTTGGTTTCTTACGTTCTGGACACTCCTTTACAAAGGCAAAGCTACAGTATATACGTTCCTGAGTCCCTACGTCCAACTCCGGACTGGGTGACCTCACGGCTCCCCGCAGAGCGTCTCACTCTCAGCCACAGTGAGTCCAGAATGAGAAGGCAGGACCCCTTTGGAGAGCGGGGCTCCATTTTCCAGCTGCTGGGCCTGTTCACATCTCAGAATCCTCCATCTCCACTCCCTCCCTTAGCAGCAAGAATCACAGGCACCAGCAGATTCAGACAAGTCACATGGCAGCAGCAGGCATGTGGGGGCCCTCTTCTCCACCCTCCTGCCACACCCCAGGAGTTAAGAGCCTGCGGCGCAGCTGCAAAGCCCCAGCTCCAGAAGGTCCGAGCTTGGACAGTGGTGGGCCTTGAACACAGCAGGGGGCCGGGGACCATGATGCTGGAAACCCGTCTATTCCCTGCGAGCACGAAGCAGAAGCCTCCCACAGACCAAAGCGTCTTCCAAAATCTACAAATGGATCTCATTCGGAGACGTGGAAACACCCAGTGGCTTGAATAAAATAGCCTTGGCTCATTCTAGTTGTCTGCAGGGAGAAGCATTTGGAGACCAATACCTGAGCTTCGTGCGCGGATGGGGTGGTGAGATCTGAGACGGGGCAGCAGAAGGAAAGGAAAATAAAAACAGACTCCATCCCACCATAAATCCTCCCCCAGGAGCGAACTTCCTCCCAGCCATGGGGATAAGAACCCCACACGGTAACTGGGGAGCTTCGGCACAGAGGGGCTGGACTGGGGCCAAACGCATAAAACAAATCACTTCCATGTGGAGAACCCCATGTACCAACGAGATCCCAGCCTCCAACACCCATCTCGAGTAGCTTCTTCCCCTGAACCGAAGTAGGGAAGAGGAGGTCAAAGGGATTAATTTGTGCCCAGTCCTACTATTTGCTCAATACTGCAAACAGAGGCAGGTGTTCCTGTACCCCTTTCACAGATAAGAACATGGAGGCAGAGGGGTAACTTCCCAAATTTTGCAGAGCTAAAGCCTGGCCAAAGAAGGGTTCTCTGTTCTTGTTCTGGGTCCTGAGCCTGTGTTCTTGCCATTACCCAAGGCTGCCTTTCCTCTATCCACCCCTGCTTTATGACCCCCAAGACCACAGAAGCTCAGCCCTCCGTCTTCCCCCTTCCTCTCCTCCTGCCCAACTTCTGTGCCCCTGTTCATCCCAGGATTCCAATGCAGCATCTTCCCAAGGGAAAGGGCAGGAGCCCTACCCACTCACCCAGGAGGCCCTGGGGAGGAGGGTGTGGGTGGGGGAGACTGTGGGAGGAAAGGGCGCTGTTCAGGCCCTGGGGAGTGGCAGGAGCGAGCCATTTCCATTTCTGACGTCCACACATCTATTTAGGCCTCTTTCTGTGTTTATTTTTATCCTTCATACCGTGCTGCTCCCAGCTGCCTCTGGTGAAGCCATCTGACCCGCACGCCAAAAAGTGATGGATTTTCCTAGGAGGCGAGGGCATCAATCTCCTTTTACTGCCTGGTTGGCCGGCCCAGCAGAGTCTGGGTCACAAGTCTCAGATGCTGGGACACTGGCAGGGGAGGAGGAGAGAGGGGGATACACAGCCCAGGCCGTGGGAAGACCTCGCAGTCTCCAGCCCGGAGGGGGCTGCTAGAGAGAGCACGGGGCTGGTACACAGTGGGGAGCGTCCTTGGGAAATGGAGAGGTTTCCTTGCCCCTTCTGACCTGGCTGTTTCCTAACTCTTTTTTCTGGGAGAGTCACCAATGGGTTCCACCAGAGGAAGCCACCTGTAAGGCTGCCTCTTCCAGCAGGACAGCTGGTCCATCAGCGAACACAGAACAAGGATTTCTATGTTTCAGCTACTGCTCCACATTTCCCTCTGCACTGAGGCCCAAGATACTCATTCCGCACATGTGGGATT